ATAGACTCCTCGCACAGAGAGACTCATAGACTCCTCACACAGAGACTCATAGACTCACACAGAGACTCATAGACTCCTCACACAGAGAGACTCATAGACTCCTCGCACAGAGACTCATAGACTCACACAGAGACTCATAGACTCCACACACAGAGAGATCCATAGACTCCTCACACAGAGACCCATAGACTCCTCACACAGAGACCCATAGACTCCTCACACAGAGACTCATAGACTCCTCACACAGAGAGACCCCTAGACTCCTCACACAGAGACTCATAGACTCCTCACACAGAGACTCATAGACTCCTCACACAGAGACTCATAGACTCCTCACACAGAGACTCATAGACTCCTCACACAGAGAGACCCATAGACTCCTCACACAGAGAGACTCATAGACTCCTCACACACAGACTCATAGACTCACACAGAGACTCATAGACTCCTCGCACAGAGAGACTCATAGAATCCTCGCACAGAGACTCATAGACTCACACAGAGACCAATAGACTCCTCACACAGAGAGCCTCATAGACTCCTCGCACAGAGACTCATAGACTCACAAAGAGACTCATAAACTCACACAGAGACTCATAGACTCCTCGCACAGAGAGACTCATAGACTCCTAACACAGAGACTCATAGACTCCACACACAGAGAGACCCATAGACTCCTCACACAGAGAGACTCATAGACTCCTCACACACAGACTCATAGACTCACACAGAGACTCAGACTCACACAGAGGCTCATAGACTCCTCGCACAGAGAGACTCGTAGACTCCTCACACAGAGAATCGTAGACTCCTCACACAGAGACTCATAGACTCACACAGAGATACTCATAGACTCACACAGAAAGACCGATAGACTCCTCACACAGAGACTCATGGACTCACACAGAGACTCATAGACTCCTCGCACAGAGACTCATAGACTCCTCACACAGAGACTCATAGACTCCTCACACAGAGACCCATAGACTCACACAGAGACTCATAGACTCCACACAGAGAGAGACCCATAGACTCCTCACACAGAGACCCATAGACTCCTCGCACACAGAGACCCATAGACTCCTCACAAAGAGACTCATAGACTCCTCACACAGAGAGACCCCTAGACTCCTCACACAGAGACTCATAGACTCCTCACACAGAGACTCATAGACTCCTCACACAGAGACTCATAGACTCCTCACACAGAGAGACTCATAGACTCCTCACACAGAAACTCATAGACTCCTCACACAGAGACTCATAGACTCCTCACACAGAGACTCATAGACTCCTCACACAGAGAGAACCGTTGACTCCTCACACAGAGAGACTCATAGAATCCTCGCACAGAGACTCATAGACTCACACAGAGACCCATAGACTCCTCACACAGATAGACTCATAGACTCCTCGCACAGAGACTCATAGACTCACACAGAGACTCATAAACTCACACAGAGACTCATATAATCCTCGCACAGAGAGCCTCATAGACTCCTCACACAGAGACTCATAGACTCACACAGAGACTCAATAGACTCCTCACACAGAGAGACTCATAGACTCCTCACACAGAGACTCATAGACTCACACAGAGACTCATAGACTCCACACACAGAGAGACCCATAGACTCCTCACACAGAGAATCGTAGACTCCTCACACAGAGACTCATAGACTCACACAGAGATACTCATAGACTCACACAGAGACTCATAGACTCCTCGCACAGAGACTCATAGACTCCTCACACAGAGACCCATAGACTCCTTACACAGAGACTCATAGACTCCTCACACAGAGACCCATAGACTCCTTACACAGAGACTCATAGACTCCTTACACAGAGACTCATAGACTCCTCACACAGAGACTCATAGACTCCTCACACAGAGACCCATAGACTCCTCACACAGAGAGACTCATAGTCCCCTCACACAGAGACCCATAGACTCCTTACATAGAGACTCATAGACTCATCACACAGAGAGACCCATAGACTCCTCACACAGAGACCCATAGACTCCTCACACAGAGACTCATAGACTCATACAAAGACTCATAGACTCCTCGCACAGAGAGACTCATAGACTCCTTACACAGAGACTCATAGACTCCTCACACAGAGACCCATAGACTCCTCACACAGAGACCCATAGACTCCTCACACAGAGACTCATAGACTCCTCACATAGAGACTCATAGACTCCTCGCACAGAGACTCATAGACTCCTCACACAGAGACCCATAGACTCCTTACACAGAGACTCATAGACTCCTCACACAGAGACCCATAGACTCCTTACACAGAGACTCATAGACTCCTTACACAGAGACTCATAGACTCCTCACACAGAGACTCATAGACTCCTCACACAGAGACCCATAGACTCCTCACACAGAGAGACTCATAGTCCCCTCACACAGAGACCCATAGACTCCTTACATAGAGACTCATAGACTCATCACACAGAGAGACCCATAGACTCCTCACACAGAGACCCATAGACTCCTCACACAGAGACTCATAGACTCATTCAAAGACTCATAGACTCCTCGCACAGAGAGACTCATAGACTCCTTACACAGAGACTCATAGACTCCTCACACAGAGACCCATAGACTCCTCACACAGAGACTCATAGACTCCTCACACAGAGACCCATAGACTCCTCACACAGAGAGACTCATAGACCCCTCACACAGAGACCCATAGACTCCTTACATAGAGACTCATAGACTCATCACACAGAGAGACCCATAGACTCCTTACACAGAGACTCATAGACTCCTCACACAGAGACCCATAGACTCCTCACACAGAGACTCATAGACTCCTCGCACAGAGACTCATAGACTCCTCACACAGAGACCCATAGACTCCTCACACAGAGACCCATAGACTCCTCACACAGAGAGATCCCATAGACTCACGCAGAAACCCATAGACTCCTCACACAGACAGACACAATAGACACCTCACACAGAGACCCATAGACTCACACACTGCGCGCAGATGCGTGTCTGTGGCCGTCTGGAACGCTCTCTTACTTGCGGTGTGAGGAAGCCACTGGGAGCTGTTTGCTGCACTTTCAGGTCGTTTAGCACGGTGCAAAAGAAGTTCGTACGTACGAGTGCACCCTTCCCCCGCCCCCCACGGTTACATAACGTCTCCCGCAGGGATCCCACCACTCCCACCACCCCCACCACCACCCCTGTAAGACCACCAGACTGAACATTGTGTCACGTTCATGAAATTACATAACAGGAGTAAGAATACAAACAAAGAGAAGCCACGTGTCGCTGGAGCACTTACTTAGTAGCAGATGACGACCACGTGGTGTTTGGGGGGGGGGCTGGGGTGAGGTTGGAGGAGCGGTGGCAATGCGGTTAGCGCACGGCGCTGATGTGGAACCCTCAGGCCCCAAAGATCCCCCGTGTAGCCTCGAACAGACTGTAGGGGCAAGTGCTGTTAGCGAGCACTTACGGTGACCTACGGTGACTAGGAGATGTTAACTACCTCGCCTGGTATACAGGAGGTCGTGGGTTCGATCCTTGCTGTATATTTGGAGTCTGCGTGTCTCTCTCTCATCATCGTCATCATCATCACGGTGGCTAAGAGATGTTAACTACCTCGCCTGGTGTACAGAAGGTCGTGGGTTCGATCTCGACCCCTGACGATCCCACTAGCCCCCCCTCCACCACTAACCCCCCCTACACCACTAGCCCCCCACTCGCCCCCCCCCCCCCACTCGCCACTCCGAATGGAGATTTAATCGCCAGACGATGGCATCAGGCATTGAATAACACGTGTCAGGGTGACATTTTACTCGTGTTTATAGACACTGGCGTGTTGGTATCTCTATCTACTGGAGTTTGTGTATCTATATATGGAGTTTGTGTGTATGTATACACTGGAGTTTGTGTATCTATATATAGAGTTTGTGTGTATATATAGTATACTGGAGTTTGCGGATGTGTGTTTACTGCTGTGTGTGTGTACTGATGAGTGTGTATATACAACTACTGTATACACACTCGTTTGTGTAAGTATGCTGGTATATATATACTGATATACACTATATATATGCGGGAACATGTAGCTAACTTGTGTGTGTGTGTGTTTATATATTTACTGATGTGCCTGTATTCATACTGCTGGGACACATTGGTGAAACTCCAGTTGAGTTGTAGTGCCTTACGCCGATAATAATGATCCCTAAACACGGGCACACGGAGACTGCGTGGCTTTTGAGAAACGACAATTGGATATGGAGCAGCTTTGTAGCCCAGCGCTAGGAGATGTTGACTACCTCGCCTGGTACACAGGAGGTCGTGGGTTCGATCCCGACCCTGACGATGCCTGCTGCTGTATATGTGGAGTCTGCGTGTCTCTCTCATCATCATCATCACGGTGGCTAGGAGATGTTGACTACCTCGCCGGGTGTACAGGAGGTCGTGGGTTCGATCCCGACCCTGTTGACGCCTGCTGCTGCTGTATATTTGGAGTCTGCGTGTCTCTCTCATCATCATCACGGTGGCTAGGAGATGTTGACTACCTCGCCTGGTGTACAGGAGGTCGTGGGTTCGATCCCGAACCTGACGATGCCTGCTGCTGTATATGTGGACTTTGCGTCTCTCTCTCTCTCTCTCTCATCATCATTATCACGGTGGCTATGAGATGTTGACTACCTCGCCTGGTACACAGGAGGTCGTGGACTTTGCGTGTCTCTCTCTCTCCGTGGTCGCGTGGATTTTTCTCGGAGTCCCTCCACTTTTAGAATCGACGTATTCGGTTGCCGCTATTTATTGTCCGGACGACGACGATGATGATGATGAGCCCACTTCGTGTGAGCTATAGAATGTTTTCGCTTCTGAAAAAGAGCGACTACACCTGGTATAAAAAATAAAAATAAACTCGTTTAGTTTCAGTCTATGACTGCACGTACGTTGAACTTCTTTCGCACCGTACGTAGCCAAGCAGTCTCATCGGAGGTGCTACGGAGATGGTCGGGCGGTGGTGGCGGTGGTGGCGGTGACGGTGGTGGTGTTGATGGTGGTGATGGTGGTGGTGACGGTGGTGGTGGTGATGGTGGTGGTGATGGTGGTGGTGGTGATGGTGACGGTGGTGGTGATGGTAGTGGTGGTGGTGGTGATGGTGGCGATGGTGGTGGTGGTGGTAGTGATGGTGGTGGTGATGGTGGTGGTGGTGGTGGTGACGGTGGTGGTGATGGTGGTGGTGGTGATGGTGACGGTAGTGGTGATGGTAGTGGTGGTGGTGATGGTGGTGGTGATGGTAGTGGTGGTGGTGATGGTGGTGGTGGTGGCGGTGGTGGTGATGGTGGTGGTGGTGGTGATGGTGGTGGTGGTGATGGTGGTGGCGGTGGTGGTGGTGATGGTGGTGGTGGTGATGGTGGTGGTGATGGTGGTGGTGATGGTAGTGGTGGCGGTGGTGGTGGTGGTGGTGATGGTGGTGGTGGTGGTGATGGTGGTGGTGGTGATGGTGGTGACGGTGGTGACGGTGGTGGTGGTGATGGTGGTGGTGGTGGTGATGGTGGTGACGGTGGTGACGGTGGTGACGGTGGTGGTGGTGATGGTGGTGGTGGTGGTGATGGTGGTGACGGTGGTGACGGTGGTGGTGGGACGGTGGTGACGGTGGTGACGGTGGTGGTGATGGTAGTGGTGGTGATGGTGGTGGTGATGGTGACGGTAGTGGTGATGGTAGTGGTGGTGGTGATGGTGGTGGTGATGGTAGTGGTGGCGGTGGTGGTGGTGATGGTGGTGGCGGTGGTGGTGATGGTGATGGTGGTGGTGATGGTGGTGGTGGTGGTGATGGTGGTGATGGTGGTGGTGACGGTGGTGACGGTGGTGGTGGCAGCTGTGCTGCTTCCTGGCTGCCTGTGTAGCCCGACACTGCGGGAGGGGAAAACCCCGAGGGTTGGTGGATCACAGACGGATGGGGTATTGCGAAACTCAGAGACAGAGACAGAGGACGACTCAGAGAGAGAGAGACAGATAGACAGAGAGAGAGGACGATTCAGAGAGAGAGAGACAGAGAGGGCGTCTTAGAGAGAGACAGAGATAAAGAGAGACAGAGAGAGACAGAGAGAGACAGACAGAGAGGACGACTCAGAGAGAGACAGAGAGAGAGAGGACGACTCAGAGAGAGAGAGACAGAGAGAGAGACAGAGAGAGAGGACGACTCAGAGAGACAGAGAGAGAGACAGAGAGAGAGAGAGGACGACTCAGAGAGAGAGAGACAGAGAGAGAGACAGAGAGAGAGAGGACGACTCAGAGAGAGAGAGAGACAGAGAGAGAGAGGACGACTCAGAGAGAGAGAGAGACAGAGAGAGAGGACGACTCAGAGAGAGAGAGAGACAGAGAGACAGAGAGAGAGAGGACGACTCAGAGAGAGAGTGTCAGAGAGAGAGACAGAGAGACAGAGAGAGAGAGAGGACGATTTAGACAGAGACAGAGAGAGAGAGGACGACTCAGAGAGAGACAGAGAGAGAGGACGACTCAGAGACAGAGAGAGAGGACGACTCAGAGAGATAGAGAGAGAGCATGGGGGAAAGGGGGAGGCCTTCATCCACCAGTGGATTGAACCTGGCTGCTGCACGTGGTGGTGATTCTGTTGGTGGTGGTAGTTCTTGTGGTGGTGCTGGTGGTGCTGGTGGTGGTAGTTCTTGTGGTGGTGCTGGTGGTGGTGATGCTGCTGGTGGTGCTGGTGGTTGTGGTGCTACTGGTGGTGGTAGTTTTGGTGGTGGTGCTGGTGGTGATGGTGGTGCTGATGGTGGTGCTGGTGGTGGTGGTGGATGTGGTGCTGGTGGTGGTATTGCTGGTGGTGGTGCTGGTGGTGCTGGTGGAGGTGGTGCTGGTGGAGGTGGTGCTGGTGCTGGTGGAGGTGCTGGTGGTGCTGGTGGTGGTGGTGGAGGTGGTGGTAGTTCTTGTGGTGGTGCTGGTGGTGGTGGTGCTGGTGCTGGTGGAGGTGGTGCTGGTGGAGGTGGTGCTGGTGCTGGTGGAGGTGGTGGTAGTTCTTGTGGTGGTGCTGGTGGTGGTGGTGCTGGTGCTGGTGGAGGTGGTGGTGGTGGTGCTGGTGGAGGTGGTGCTGGTGGTGGTGCTGGTGGCGGTGGTGGTGCTGGTGGCGGTGGTGGTGGTGGTGCTGGTGGAGGTGGTGGAGGTGGTGCTGGTGGTGCTGTTGGTGGTGGTAGTTCTTGTGGTGCTGGTGGTGGTGCTGGTGGTGCTGTTGGTGGTGGTAGTTCTTGTGGTGGTGCTGGTGGTGGTGGTGCTGGTGGTGGTGGTGGAGCGCAGTGGGTGGGTGGAGCCACCCCTAGGGGTGGATGAGACGGAGGCAGAGAGAGTGGGGGGGGGTACCAGACAGAGCCGCTGGCTGGCAGATCGATAACTCTGTTAACGTGACACACACACACTGCAGAAGAGGGGCGGCGATACACACACAGAGACACACATCTTGTCACACGAGGCGCGAACACAGAGACACACACACAGACAGAGACACACACACACAGAGACACACACACACAGAGACACACACACAGAGACACAGAGACACACACACACAGAGACACACACAGACAGAGACACACACACAGAGACACATATACACAGAGACACACACAGACAGAGACATACATACACAGAGACACACACACACACAGACACACATACATAGAGACACACACAGACAGAGACACACACACAGAGACACACATACACAGAGACACACACACAGACACACACACAGAGAGACACAGAGACACACACACATACAGACACACACACACAGAGACACACACACACAGAGACACAGAGACACACACACACAGAGACACACACAGACAGAGACACACACAGAGAGACACACATACACAGAGACACACACAGACAGAGACACACATACACAGAGACACACACACACAGACACACAGAGACACACACACACAGAGACACAGAGACACACACACAGAGACACACACACAGACACACAGAGAGACACACACAGAGACACACACAGAGACACACACAGAGACACAGAGACACACACACAGAGACACACACACAGACACACACACACAGACACACACAGAGACACGCACACACAGAGACACGCACACACAGAGACGCACACACAGAGACACGCACACACAGAGACGCACACACAGACACACACACAGAGACACACACAGACACACACACACAGACACACACACAGACACACACAGACACACACAGAGACACACACAGACACACACACACAGACACACACACACACAGACACACACAGAGAGACACACACAGACACACACACACACACAGACACACACACAGACACACACACACAGAGACACACATCTTGTCACACGATCCGTGAACTAACGGGAAGACAAAGGCCACTGCGCGCGGACAAAACGACGTCTACACGTCTAGACGTCTAGACGTGTAGACGTCTGCTCTCTCTCTTTCCTCTTCTGTTCTCAGCGAGTCGCTCACCGGAGAGAGCGTCTTGAACCCCCCTCGCCCGCATCGCTTCCCGTGCTCTGAATCTGCCGATTATCTTCATCGCCATGCCACTCACTCACTCACCCACTCACTCACTCACCCACTCACTCACTGACTGACTCACTCACTCACTCACCCACTCACTCACCCACTCACTCTCCCAACCACTCACCCACTCACTCACTTACCCACTCACTCACTCATTCACCCATCCACTCTCTCACCCACTCACTCACTCACCCACTCACTCACTCATTCACCCACTCACTCACTCACCCACTCGCTCACTAACTGACTGACTCACCCACTCACTCACCCACCAACTTACCCATCCACTCACTCACCCACTCACTCACCCATTCACTCACTCACCCACTCACTCACCCACTCACTCACCCACTCACTCACTCATTCACGCACTCACTCACCCACTCACCCACTCGCTCACTCACCCACTCACTCACTCACTCACCCACTCACTCATTCACCCACTCACCCACTCACTCACCCACTCACTCACCCACTCACTCACTCACCCACTCACTCACTCACCCACTCATTCACTCACCCACCCACTCACTCACTCACCCACTCACTCACCTATCCACTCACTCACCCATCCACTCACCTACTCACTATCTCACCCACTCACTCACCAATCCACCCACTCACTCACCCATCCACTCACCCATCCACTCACCGACTCACCCATCCACCCACGTAGCTATCCACTCAACCATCCACTCACCGTCTCACCCATCCACTCACCCACGTAGCCATCCACTCACTCGCCCACTCACTCACCCATCCACTCACCGACTCACCCACCAACGTAGCCATCCACTCACCCACCCACTAACCGACTCACCCATCCAGATACCCATCCACCCACTCACTCACCCATCCACTCACCGACTCAACCATCCACTCACCGACTTACCCATTCACCCACGTAGCCATCCACTCACCCATCCACTCACCGACTCACTCACTCACTCACCCATCCACTGACCCATCCACTCACTCACCCAGCCACTCACCGACTCACCAATTCACTCACCCACCCAAGTACCCACCGACTCACTCACCCATTCACCCACCCACCCACTCACCCATCCGCTCACCCGTCCACTCACCGACTCAAACATCCATCCACTCACCCGCTCACCCACCCACTCGCTTGCTCACCCACTCATCGACCCACCCATACACTCATCGACTCACCCACCCACTTACTCACCCGCTCACTCACCCATTCACTCATTCACTCCATCTACTAACACACTCACCCACTCATCCGCTCACTCACCCATTCACTCCATCAACTAACACACTCACCTGCCCACTCACCCGCTCACTCACCCATTCACTCATTCACTCCAACTAACACACTCACCCACTCACCCGCTCACTCACCCATTCACTCATTTACTTCATCAACTAACTCACCCACTCACCCGCTCACTCACCCATTCACTCCATCAACTAACACACTCACCCGCTCACTCACCCATTCACTCACCCCTCTCTCCTGCCCCCCCCCCCCCGGCACACCCCCCCCCCCATACTCCAAACCCCACCACTAAATCCATACGGCATTAGACCCAGAGAACGAGCGGCGATTGTAAATTGTGTTTCGTCTGGGGCTTTGACTGCAGGCGGTAGTGGTGGTTGCTGCTGGTGGTTGTGGCGGGTTGTGGTGCGCCTACCCGAGTTCGATTCCCGCTCACGGCCCACCACCACCCCCCAGTGACGATTGTCTGAAGCCGCTCCCGGGCCTCCGCTAGGTCGACTCGGCCTCAAACGAGTAACCTGGTGCGGTGTGGTGGAGTAAACATCGCCGCTGGGGGAGACAAAGGCGGTCGGGCGTGGTTGCTGGCCACCTACCCCCACGTGTGCCGTGCCGGCCTTGATAGACGCTCGCTAACAGCACTTGCTTGCACCAACAGTCTGTTCAGGCTATATGGGGGATCTTTGTCTTTGTGGGGCTGGTGGTGGTGGTGGGGCCGGTGGTTGCTGGTAGTGCTGGTGGTGGTTGTGGTGGGGATGGTGGTTGCTGGTAGTGCTGGTGGTGGTTGTGGTGGGGCTGGTGGTTGCTGGTAGTGCTGGTGGTGGTTGTGGTGGTGGTGGTGCTCGTGGTGCAGGTGGTGGTGGTGGGGAGCGGTGGTGCAGCGGTTAGCGCTACGCTGCGTTACGAACCCAGCGACCTGAGTTCCGTTCCCACTCACGGCCACCACCTCCCCTAGGTCGACTCGGCCTCAAATGAGTACCTGGTGCGATGTGAAAAAAACAACGCCAATGGGGAGACAAAGGCGGCCGGGCGTGGTGCTGGCCACCCTCCCCCTCGTGTGCAAGCCGCAGTGCCGGCCTTCATAGGTGCTCGTTAACAGCACTTGCCCCGACAGTCTATTAAGGTTATACGGGGGGTCTTTGTCTTTGTTACATGGGGAGC